AGTAGTGCTAAAAAGAAGGTTAGGTTAAATAGCATCAGATCAGTAACATGACTGGAGTGTAAAACGAGCATTTCAGAGCGGCAGAGCTTCTCAGAAGCAAAGGTGGATGGAGGTTTACCAATCTGCAAAAGACTGCCTGTACAAATTATGGAACAATTCAGAATAATATTCCTCAACATAAAATTGAATGTGGAGAAATCTGTGTGTGCAGGGGACAAGTCTGACAATCAACATTGGATGTCTGTGAACTGAAGTGAAAACAGACGTGATTCTGTCATGAAATTCACTGGATGGGCTTAGGAACACGTCCAGAAATCACCGGCTATGAACACATTTCACTGTACCATCCACAAATACAGGCTGGAGCTCTACCGTGCAGAGAAGAAGCCATACGTGAACATGATCCAGAAACACCACCATCTCTTCTGTGCCAAAGCTCATTTAAAATGAAGTGAGGTAAAGTAGTTAGTCAAACTGAAATTTCAAATTCTTTCATGGAAAACACTGATGACGATGAGTCATCAGATCATATATCTCTCCAGTGTGTCCTGGGCCTGCCCCGGGACCTCCTCCCAGTGGGACATGCCCAGAACACCTCGCTCAGGAGGCATCCTTGTCAGATTCCAAATCCACCTCACCTGTCTCCTTTCAATGTGAAGGAGCAGCGGCTCTACTCTGAGCCCCTCCCGGATGCCGGAACTTCTCACCCTATCTCTAAAGGAGAGGCAAGCCACCCTTCAGAGGAAGCCCATTTCTGCGGCTTGTGTCTGCAATCTCGTTCTTTAGCTCACCACCCACAGCTCGTGACCATAAGTGAGGGTGGGGATGTGGATCAACCGGAAAATTGAGAGCTTCGCTTTTACACTCAGCTCTCTTTTTACTACAACAGACTGGTTAAGCGTCTGCATCACTGCATCACTGCAGCACCAATTTGTCTGTCAATCTCCCACTCCCTTCTCCCGTCATTCATGAACAAGACCCCGAGATACTTAAACTCTTCCACTGGGGCAGGAACTCATCCCTGACCCGGAGTGGGCACTCCACCCTTTTTTAGCAGAGGACCAAAGCCTCGAGTCTGGAGGTGCTGATTCTCATTCCCACAGCCTCACACTCGGCTGCAAACCATTCCAGTGCAGACTGGAGGCCATCACCTGATGAAGCCAACAGAACCACATTATCCACGAAAAGCAGAGATGAGATTCTGAGACCACCCAAGTGAAAGCCTTCCCCCACTTGGCTGCGCCTAGAAATTCTGTCCATAAAAATTATGAACAAAATTGGTGACAAAGGGCAGCCCTAGTGGAGCCCATCACCCACCAGGAACGAATCCACTTATTACCGGCTATGTGGACCAAGCTCTTGCAACGGTTGTATGAGGATCTAATGGCCCATTGCAATGGGCCAAACACCCCATTCTCCCGGAGCAAACTCCACAGGACACTCCAAGGGACACAGTTGAATGCCTTCTCCAAGTCCACAACACACATCTCCCTCAGAATGCTGTTGAAGCTCTGCCAGAGGTGTGCGCTGAAGACCTCAAGGACTGGGATCTCTGCTAGGCTTTCCCAGCACACTCTCACTATATGTTTAGGCTTGAGTGTCCAGAACATTTCGCCGCAGGTCTAGTGATATGATTATAAAATTGATCATCGACCTGCGGCCTAGAGCGTCCTGGTGCCATGTGCACTTATGGACATTCTTATATTCAAACATTGTGTTGGTTATGGCCAAACTGTGGTTTGCACAGAAGTCCAAAAACAAAACACCACTCGGGTTCAGATCCGGGAAGTCGTTCCTCACTATGAAACCCCTGCAGGTCTCACTGTTGTTGCCCAAATTAGCATTAAAGTCTCCCAGTAGGACAACAGAGTCCCCAGGTAGAGCAACCTCCAGCAGAGTCCAGCCCCTTTCCAGGAGACTGGCTCCAGAGGCGTGCACTGAGGTAAGCCCAACTATATCTAGCCGGTACCTCTGACTAACTCAGGCTCCTTCCATACCAGAGAGGTGACATTCCATGTTCCAGTTGCCAGTCTTGGAAGCTGAGGCTCAATCAGCCAGGGCCTCCACTCCTGGCCGCGCTCTGCTCCCAATGCACCCGACCCCTACGGTGCCTCCTGTGGGTGGTGGGCCTGCAGGAAGATGGTCCCACGTCCCTTTTTCGGGCTGTACCTGGCCAGGCCCCATGGACTAAGGCCTGGTCACCAGACGCTTGCCCTCAGGCACCTTCCCTGGGCTTGCCTCCAGGTCGGAGCCCTGGTAACCCTATCCCAGGCAGGGTGAACTGTTCCCTTGGTGGTCTTCTCATAGGGGTCTTCTGAATCGTTCTTTGTCTGGTCCCTTTGTCAGCATTCTTTGACTTTTGAAGGCTTTGTTACCAAGCTGACAAAAACACCACACTGTGCGCACCTCTGTTTCCCACTGAAGCAGTGCATAGTGAACATTAAAGATTGAGGATATAGCTGGAGCTTATCCTGCATATCAAATATTACAGACACGTTTTGGAGATTAAAACACTTCCTGCTATGTCATGGTCACATTCCCGCCAACTCCTTCGGTCTGTAGTGCTTTGTAGTCCCTCGCCTGTCCACCACAGTCATACGGCCACCAGCACAGCATTCTCCACAAATACACATCATCATTTAATGTAACAGGAATTTTCAGGAAAATAATTTAGTGTTGGATTTTTTCTAAAACATCAAAATGCCAAGGAGCCGCTGACTGATTAAATTGCTTCCCTAGGAGCTGTTATAATATTAAAATAAATGACTCTTAGGCCAAAAGAAGTAGTCAGAAGTACTACACAAATCTAACCTAACCCAGTCTTCAGATGCTTTAAGAATACAGGCACTGTTTTCATCGGGTATACTGCCACACAATGAGGAATTTTAATGATTTTAAAAGAAAGAATACAGGATCACTGATACATTACAAGAACACAATTCACACTGCGTGATCAGAGAGTTACTGCTGATGCTGTATTGGACTGCATTTGTTACAGTCCTGGGCCTGTGGCCCGGTGTTTTGATTTTGTATTAGTGTTTATTTGTCTGTTTTCTTCTTGGTTCATGGTTACTAGTGTTTTGGTTTCTGTTCCGTATTTCTTAGCTTGTGGATTTGGACACCCCTGACAATAATAACGGTGACAGAACAGTAATAACTTATTTTATCCGATAAATAAACACTTTAAAATTGGATTTTTTTGTATATATTGTTGGGATTAAATTATTTGAAGTGCCTCAATTCTATGCTTTATGTTAACTAAAATGTCATATAACCATGTAGTGTAGTATTAAGTGGACACGGTCCTGGAATTAAAGGCATTACACTATGTGTCCTTGGGGGGTAGATTGCTGTAGCAGGGCTCGCAAAATCGCTAGCCCGACGTCCCGGGGTCATTTTGACCTGTACTGTACATTTCTATTGAACTCGCCCGATGTTCTCAGTTTTTCAATGTTCAACATTTTCAATTTTGTCCACATGATGGACAGAATGTAACTGTGTGCTTTCTGTAGATGTACTTCTTGCATTTCTGACAAAAAGTGCTTGTTTTAAAACATGAATCTTCCTAACTTAGATTTAAAACAAAAGATGTCTACATGTCCTCCAGACTCAAAAACAGATGACAAACCAATCGACACACCTGAGTCACTGACTTTGTTATATCCACTCACTCTCACTGGCTCTGTTTATTACTAATCACTGTGTAACTGCTGTAAATTCACAGTAACTGCCATCTCCTTACAAATGTTTATTGGATTAACCACACTTGTACAGACTGTATATAACTACCAACTCTCCAGCCATGTTGATGGATTGCCTATATTGGCTGAAAATATTCATTTCCGGAGAAAAGACACAGACAGACTCTGCTTACAGGATGTGATGTGACAACACTAATGAAATATTGATGTGTCATATTTGTCCAAGGTGTATTTCATTGTTATGGAAAAAGAAAATATTAAAATCATGATGACCAATTGGAGTGGTGATTTCTATAATTTTGTGTATATAATTTGGCATTTCTTACTGATGTAGGCCAAAAATAAATACATGATATCATTTCATTCAGTTCAAAGGTTTATTTGCATGGCGCACAAACAGACACAATTGAAAGGTACAAATGTATCGTGCATGAAACGAATTCAAACGTGGTGCAGATGTGTGTCACAAGTTGATCTGGCTGTAGGCTGTGGGCCAGAGGTGTCGCTGGTTGATTCGAGTCCATGTTAGTACACACAAAGTAAACTGCTCGCTTTAGTTGTGAAGCAAAAACGCTGAAATCGGAGTAATAACACGTAGGAGGGGAACGATAACGACGACAAGAGTCTCCCGATCGTTTACTCTTGCTGTCCTGTGAACAACATCGGCGTGGTGTTAATTGTTGGCTGTTTTCGCGATCGCGTCGCGCATGAGAATATCACCAGGTAAACTCGCGACATTTTTAAACATTTTGTTGTTCAACAGCATCAAGACTGACGGAGTGTGTTTGAGATAAACTCACAAGTGTCACAGATGACACATTTGGCGTTTTTTTGCTGGTTTGTCGGTAGAAGCTCCTGAAACGCCACAGATCTGTTCGACCAAATCCACTTAATCTGCGACGCCAGTTAATCTGGAACACCGGTCAGTCTTGCGGGGAGGACGACGAGTTTTTGACCAGATGGACAATAATGAGTTAGTGTCACTGATATTGAAATTCCGCCGAAGATATACCTGCGGCGGCGCTTGAAGACGATAGAAGTATAGAGCCACAGGTGGAGAGACAGCCAGGCAAAAACTGAGCCGCAAAAGATCCGTAACAGAGTACTGGAGAAGAGCTGTCGTCGGGTGATGAAAAAAAAACAGGTATTATTATTATTATTATTATTATTATTATTATTATTATTATTATTATTATTATTATTATTATTCCATAAAATGTTTTTCCCTAATGGTCCTCCATGCCCACAGGGCAGGGCTTTACTATGGGTGGGCGGTCTCTGCAGGGAGTGGGCTTGCCCGGCGCTTTTTAATCCAGATGCGCACCCTACGTTCGGTAGGGTGCGCATCTGGATCCAGAGCTGACACAACCAAGAGGTGAAAGAAGACACACCACCCAGCAACATGACTGCACCCAGCAACACCTACGATGTTATAGTGGTCGGCGCGGGCATATCAGGTAGGCTGCACGTCAGAAAACTTTAGTTTTGTGTTCAGGCTCCGCGGAAGAGCTGAGCAAATAAACTGATTAAAGCCAAAGCTCCGAGCAGAGCCGGTAGCGGTCAGATGCGCTTTGTGGAAGGTAACTACACAACTGTGGCCGTGAGCGAGTGGAAGAAGCTGTAGCCGTGTGTGTGTGTGTGTGTGTGTGTGTGCAGAGCTGAGAGTGACGGAGAGTTTTTTTTATTATTCGTAGTGTTTTTCTTCTTCTTCTTCCGTGAGGCTGCCTCCCCTCTCCTCCTCTCTCCAGCTCTTTCACCTCTGTATCACCGCAGTTGAGTAACAGCTGATCAACCAGCGCATACTTTGTGTTACATAAGAGGACGTGAGCTGCAGGGAGGGCCAGGAGTGAGGAAATAAATTAATAAAATACGCTATTAAATAAATAATTACATTTGTCATTAATTAATTAAAATTGAAATTAATTAATTAATTAAATAAATGTTTAAATAATTAATTAAATGCCCATTAATTTCATTCAAAACATTGAATAAATTATGTATTTATTAATTTCAAATTGTATTTAATTATTGACACATTTAATCAATTATTTAATGATGTATTTATTTAATTAATTTTGGCAGTCCTGACCCTGCAGCTGTCTTCATGAATTATTTTTATCTGCCAACCTCACCCATCAAACTCAGGGGGTGGGGTTCATGCTGTTCGAGTAAAAACCATTGCTTTGGCCTGCTGGCCAGTCTTTTTATTGGGCATTTCTCTAACTGAACTTGCCTTTAAATACCCTGTTTGTATGTCACCAAATACACTTTAAATATTTTTTTAGCTGAGAATGTAGAGGTTTAATCTTCAGATATCTGGTCGGTTTGTCAAGATAGAGCCTATTTGCAAAAGTGCTCCGATGATTTCGGAGATGTCTGCCCTGCCCAGTCTCACAGCAAAACCTGTGACATACCCATACTCCATATGCCAGAGGTCAGTGTATGACAAGCTGTTTATCTACTGTATACTCTGTGGTTGGTGAGCCAGTGCTCAGTGCTTTACTTGTTAGCTCTTCCTCCCCACATGATCAGCTGGTTGGCTGGTTTGTGATTTGTTGAGAACCTCAATCCCCCCTGCCCCCCTCTATTTTTTCCCCAGAGCTCTCTCAGTTCATTTGAAAAGCAAATGTTATGTAATTGTATTTAAGAGTTGTATGCCTACCAAAAAACTAATCACTGTAAATGCACAACGAAAAACAATTAAAGTGGGAATACCTGTTGATGGTATAACAGTGTCCCAACTAGCATAAGAGAAACCAGATTTACTTTAAAAATAAACAAAGAAGTTCAAATCTTTATGTTTCTTATAAGATTTTCCAAACGATCCTCTTGATCTGGTTTTGAGTGATCTAATAGAGCGCAAAAACAAGGTTTTTCTTTGAGAAGGGGATTTTTGGAAGCCTTTTTTGTCATTAATTTTAAAAGACCTTTAAAATCCCTGTGTGCCTTTTGCTATTGCCTTTTTTACAAGTATAGAAAGCACATATATTGCTTGAATCCTTATGTGTAAGTCCTGTTGGTGTCTCTGTCCTTCTGCAGGTTTGAGTGCTGCAAAGCTGTTGAAAGCCAGTGGGCTCGATCCTGTAGTGTTGGAAGCCAGAGACCGGGTTGGTGGTCGTACCTTCACTGTGCAGGTAAGGCAAAGAGTGACAATACTACTGTAGGAGCGGCTCATAAAAGAGACAATCAGTAACAGTAATATAAATACTTTCCAGCTTTTTAATTTTACAACCAAGATGGTGTATCTATTGCTTTTAATGGGCATACAGAAAAAAAATGACATTTATATTCAAGTCATTTATGAGCGTAGAAGTACAAACATAGATCAGTTAGCCTTTTCAGAAATATCTGTGACATTTCTTTCTTTCTTTTTTGTCATGATCTAATTGCGAGTATGTGTCTTTTAGAATAAAGAGGCAAAGTGGGTTGATCTAGGCGGTGCCTACATTGGACCGACACAGAACCGCATCCTCCGTCTGGCCAAAGAGTACGGCATAAAGACCTACAAAGTCAACGAGCAGGAGAACTTGGTGCATTATGTTAATGTGAGTGTCTTTTTTTTTTATTGTAGATAATTTTCCACTCCAAGCTCTCTTGGTTTATGTTATCTCTGTGTAGTCCGTGACAGATCATGACATGTTCCAGATGTATTCTTCACTTTAAGTGATGGAGTAAATGATGACAGTGTTCAGAAGATGATGCACCATATCCTGAGTCTGACCCATTATCCAATAAAAAGGAAATCCAAGTCTCTGCTACCCCTCTGGCATCACGCAGTAGGCATGGCAACAAGGATCTTTATCAACATTTTTCAATTGCTACTTTCTGCTGCTGGCACATTTCCTGTCAGCTTCACTTTTGCATGAGCTAACAGAGCTAGCCTCTTTGCCATCAGCAGTAGAGTTTGAAGCATTTTTTGGGAATATTTTGTTTGCACGAAAAACAAATTTTTTACACACAAAGTAAAACATTGTTATCATCATTGTTCACTTGACTGTAATCTGCTAAATTAGCCACTCCCCCCACACACGGTCGTACAGAACATATATACTCAGTGGAGGAGCTTGTTAATGATCTCAAGACTAGGAACAGTCACCAAAAACACCAATGGTAACACACTGGTTGTAATGGTCTAAAATTAGAGAATAATGTGGCTCAGGAGGTAGAGCAGGTCATCTATTAATCAAAAGGTACGGGTACGTTAGACATGCTAAAGTGCTTTGAGCGTTCAAGTAGAATAGTAATGTGCTGTATAAGAACCACTCCATTTACCATATACCAAATCTTGCAGCACTCACAAGGTCTCCCAGCTCAAGAAGGCACATTTACAAACCCCTCTTAAGTTTGCCAGTGAACACCTAAAAAATTTAGAGAAGCCTTGGAAGAAAGTAATGTAATCAGATGAAAACAAAATCAAGCTCTTTGACAACAACTTAACCCACAGTGTTTGGAGGAGGAGAAGTGATGAGTATGACCTAAAGAACACAATCCCCACAGTCAGAGGTGGAAATATTGTGCTTTGGGCTGTTTTTCTGCTGTGGGTACAGGATGACTTCACCGTATAGAGGGGCCAATGGATTGGACTATGTGCCATAAAATCTTGGACAAGAGTCTTCTTCCATTGGCCAAAAAAACTGAAGATATGAATGAGTCTTCCAGCATGACAATGACCCAAAATATACCACCAAAGAAACATAGGAGTGGCCAACGAAGAAGAATGTTAAGTTCATTTCGCAGCTTAGCCACTCTCCAGACCAGACCTTTCTACCAGTCCTGTAGAAAATGTGCTGTGGGGGTCTTTAAAACCTAAAGCATTTAGAGATTTTCTGTAAAGAGGAGTGGGCCAAAATCACTCCTGAAATGTGTGCAAACCTAATGACCAACTACAAGAAATATCTTACCAAAGCTCACACCGAGCTCAGGGTTTTATTTGATTTGATTTTTTTTTTTTTTTTT